AGCTCGGGCTAGTCGGCTTGTTGCCGCCCAAGGTCTGAACCTTGATGTACAGTCCAGGAGATGCTATCTACAGTCTCACAAAATAGCAATGATATGAAAAGTATATATATCTGGAGAGTTTGCATGACCGTAACGAGACGCTGTATTTCAAACTCCTCGTGGATCATGTCGCTGAGATGATGCCCATTGTCTACACCCCTGTGGTTGGTAAGGCCTGCCAAATGTTCGGTCATATCTTCCGTAATGCTCGTGGTCTTTATTTCAACCTCTCAGAGAAAGGCAACTTCAAGGAGATGGTTTGGAACAGCAACGTCCGCGATGCCGATATCATCGTGGTTACTGATGGTTCTCGTATTCTGGGTCTTGGGGACCTTGGTACCAACGGTATGGGCATTCCCATTGGTAAACTCTCGTTGTATGTCGCATGTGCTGGTATCCACCCTGGCCGCACTGTGCCGGTTACCCTCGATGTTGGCACCAACAACCCGGATCTGCTCGAGGATGACATGTACCTTGGTGAGCGTCGTAAGAGAATCGATGGGGACGAGTACTATGCTGTAGTTGATGAGTTTGTTGATGCCGTTCGTTCTCGTTGGCCCGGTGTCCTCATCCAGTTCGAGGACTTCACTAACGATCATGCCTTCCCCCTCTTGAAACGGTACCAGGAGAACATCCTGTGCTTCAACGATGATATTCAGGGAACTGGCTCGGTTGCTCTGGCTGGCCTCGTCAGTGCGATGAGGGTCAAGAGAGAGAAGCTCGAGAATCAGAGGATCGTCTTCCTCGGTGCTGGTGCTGCTGCTGTGGGAATTGCTGATTGTATTGTTGCTGCTATGGTTCACGATGGTCTCACCCCTGAGGATGCCAGAAAGCGTTTCTGGTTTGTTGATTCCAAGGGTTTGGTCACATGGAAGCGTGGTGGCAGCATGCAAGATCATAAGGTGAGGACATGAGGATCATTAGGAAGTGTAGTTCGTCGTGACCAGGTTCCCTACTGTCATGATGACGAGGAACCAATGGAAAGCCTTCTTGAAGTTGTCAAAGCCATCAAGCCTACTGTATTGCTCGGCCTTAGTGGTCAACCGGGCTCGTTCACTGAAGACATTATCAAGGTGAGGGTCTCGAATCAGTTTACTGTTGTGACTTTGGTCGTTCTTCAGGCCATGTATGCGAACTGTCCCCAGCCTGTCATCTTCGCTCTGTCAAACCCCACTCCCAAAGCCGAGGCCACACCCGAGCAGCTCTATACGTAAGTTATAACTACTCGTATTTGGCAGCGATCACCGATGCCTACTATTTTCAGGTGGACTGAGGGGAATGCTTGGGTTTGCACTGGGTCTCCCTTTGGACCGGTCACGCACAATGGTAAAGTGTATCAGGCTGGCCAAGGGAACAACATGTAGTCCCTCGACGCAGTGGCCTCTTATATCCCATCTGTTATTGCCCAGGTACATCTTCCCCGGTGTCGGTCTGGCCGGTATTGTTGGCAAGTTCAAGTGGATTCCCGACTCTATGTTCTACACTGCTGCTAAGACTCTCGCTGAGAGGGTCAAGGAAGAGGATATTGCTCGTGGCACTTTGTACCCCTGTCTCACTCGTATTCGCGAACTCTCGCACGACATTGCAGTGGCGTGTATCAAGGAAGCTTTTGATCTCGGCATTGCTTGCATTGAGTAAGTTTACCGCTTCTCTTCTCTTTGATTCCCCTGTTTAGGCGTCCGGCCGATCTTGGCAAGTTGGTGTGGGACCATATGTGGAAGCCCGAATACGCCCATACCGAGCTCGACCCGACGGTATTCGCCTTCTCTGGTCAAGGCTCAGGTAGCTGTCAGAGTAGGAATAGGCTGAATGTTGGTACTACACAGAGCAAGGCTTTCTCCTTCACTGATATGGAGCGTATTAACCCCAGTCAGTTCATGTAGACATTTTCAGTGACGATTTTATGTTTAACAGGACGTTTTCCTGTTACACTCTGCTGATCGAACTCGGGCTTCAGTCGCTTTGGTGGCCTCAATAGTGGTGTTGTTGCATTCATGGTCATCTCACACTCTCACGATTAGATCTTATCGAGGCTTCCCTCCTACCGACTGATAGCCACAGAACAACTTCTCTTTGTCTTCGTTCGTTGCTGCCTATTCGGCGGCGACTAGGAACTTTTGATTTTTTTGGTATTTTTTCAAGCAAATTTTACTGATAGTAGTCTGGTGATGTGTGTCAACTTTATTGCTTTTGCAATGTGATTTGTTGTTGAGTGTGTCAATTAGCGTCGGGATGAAATGACATCATTTGCTTTGTAGACTCAAACCGAATTGGTCAGTGATGGAGCTGCGAGGCCACTTTCCATGCCCGCCTGCTCCCTGTGAATGAAGCGGTGATCGACTGGTGCTACTGTCTCGTTCTTGCGGAACTATACCATAGGCTTAGTATGTCGCTATAGGTTCATTGTCGGAGTAAACCTTATCGAAGGAGTCGTACCCTTTGTCATCAATTCATCTGGATTCCCCAATAACTGCTCGATAGGACCTAGCTCAAGGTCTTTTATACTCACAGACTAACAGTATTCACTAGCTTTATCACGCCATTGCTATTTGGACAGTGGGGTAACTCAGATTAGGTGGATCCAAGCAACGCCACGTCAGTCCTAGGGCGCCCTGATGGCCTCTTTCTCCTCGGTCTACTGGACGATCTCGTTGAAGATGCCATGTGGCAACCCAAGTACAGTCAGGTCGAGTTGGGCCCATCAATGGCGGCTTATTCGAGTGGTGGAGCTACAGCTCCTCGCGAGGCTGGCGGCCCTGACAAGCAGAGATTGGCGGACTCCTTCGCTGAGGGCACGTCTTTGTCTCTCTTTGTTGATGTGGAAAGGGTTAACTCCAACAGACTCTTATCTTTCTGAATTTAGTACCACACCATGAGAACTTTCTACCATGCTTATCATCAGCTGATTGAATACCCTCGACAATGACGAGTCGTCATTGTCATTACCAATATTTCACCGACTTTCATGTCCATTATACGTTTCGAGTTGAAGTCACACACAGTGCCCGTCCCCATCGCCGCATATCAGTGGTTGCCATCATGACTATGTACGAGGCATCAGCTTCATGTCCCGTGGTCATCGACTGTGGGTCCAGCCAGACCCGGGCGGGCATGGCGGTCACTGGACGTCACATTAGGCCGGCAGTAGAGATACCAAGTAGTGATGGGCAATACTGTGAAGATGTGTGTCAGTTCTTCATTGAGAACTGCTAGCAGACTCGGTCATCGGTGGTGCTAGGTGGGTGGTCAGGTGTAGTTGGTCGACGACGTACCAACGTCCCCCCTAGGAACTGCTGGTCCCAAGTTGATGGCCTCTTGGACTCTGGTCATCCACCCTCTTTTGGGTCTGATGCTGTAGTATCGGAATTTTTCACCCGGCCATCATCGTCCATCTAGGTTACTCTCGTTCTAAGAGGAGAGCCGGTCCGGCTCACCTATCCTGTCAATGAAGGTGTTTACTCCGACATGGAGAGTGTTGGGAGTCTATTGGAGTATGTCTACCAGGAGTGCCTCAAAGTGAGCGGTGCAGAGCTTCCGACTCCCCCAGAAATCCTAAATGCATTTCCCGTCCCATCGCTGTTCTTTCGCTCGACTGGATTGAAAATAGTATCAGGTTGATCCTAGAGAGCATCCATTACTTCTGACTGAGCCAGTCTACAATCCGGCATCGACTCGAGAGAGGGCAGTAGGTGTTCGAGCTGCCTGTCACTACTGACCGTATCGGCCATTCAGACTGAGATGCTCTTCGAGGAGTTGGGGATACCGAGTCTGAATATCTCAGTGAAGGAAGTGGCGGCCCTCGTCGGGACGGGTGAGTGGGCGAGTCTATAATGAGAGACAAGCCTTCCTCAGGCTGGCAAGATGGTATTGTAGTCGACGCTGGTGAGGCCATGACCAGCGTCGTACCTATTTCTCACGGGTAGCTCGCGAGGGTCTATCGAGGACCCTATAGCCTTGAGTAGATGCGTCGTTACTAGTGGCATTCGTAAGCTCTACCTAGGGGGAGCAGACCTAGACGTCCAGCTGGCTGAGCGCCTCGCCAAACGTGCTGACCATATCCGACTAACGTCGACAAAGGACCGTCTCACAGTAGGGCTTAGTCCAGGGTTCCGACGTCGCAAAGGTGATGTTAGTTGAGACAGTTGAAGGAGAGTATCTGTTATTGCCGACCTGGCTGGCATGATACGGATGACGACTTCGACGAGAATGGCTACTGTGCTGGTGGGGAGGACTCCCACATTACTCTGCCAGATGGCACCACCGTCGACATGGCGGACGATAAGTGGAAGGTCCCGAAAGCTCGGGATCAACAGTCGTAGTGTCATGAGGCACCGATCAGGTTCCTGAGTCGCTCTTCCACCCACATCTGTTGGGTATAGAAGGGAGCGGTATAGGGGATATGGTGGTCGAGTCTATCGAGGACTGTCCTATTGATGACAAGTTGAAGCTTTACAAGAAGATTATGCTCGCCGGTGAGCACTTCTAGTTGTCGTTCGAGTCGATCCTGAGATGTTCCCCAGGTGGAACATCACAATTTCCTGGCTTCGCGGATCGGCTTCGGTCAGAAGTAGAACATTCAGTGAAGTACTCACGAACTGCAACGTCGGGACGCAGTCATAATAGAAACCCTCAAGTCCGCCACTGCCCGACTAAACTCTCATCTTGTCTATGACGTCTCCAGGTTCACGTAGAGAAAGCCCATCGGCATCCCGAATGGGCGGCATGGATCGGTGGGAGCGCCTTCGCGTCACTGAAGGACAGTTTCGAGGATCGATGGCTCTCCCGTGAAGAGTGGGCATTGTTGTTGTCGCTGTTGTGGTTGTCGTTGTTCAACTCTTGTTGTTGTGCGCTTAGATACGAAGAATATGGTCCCGACTTGATAAACTCTAAAGTACAGATATCTTTCATGCCTCACCAGCAGCAACAATAGCAGTGAGCCTGACAATGCAGTTATCATCTTAATTGATTCGTTTGCTGCTAGAAGTACATTAACGCGACATTTTTATACTATTAGTACTATAGCAAAATCCCCATGCTGCAACCAACTCTGGTTTGTTCACAGCTTCGGAGTATAATTACCAAATGCCTGAGACCAGCACAATGATCTTCCATCGGTGTCAGCAGTCCTCTTGAGTTCTCACACGAGCCGTATACCATGTCCTGGGAGCAACCTCTGTTGCCATCGCAGTTGCCGTGCTTTCGAAACATGCCTTCGACCCATCTAGGTCGAGTACTAGGGCTGATCCTTCGGCTCATGTGTCCTTCAGTGTTGCCAGTCTTGTGGGGTAGGTTGTTCACGGCTGCCCTGGTCTCGGCAGTCCGCATTGAAATCAAGGAAGAATCATTCAGAAGAATGACGTTTAGCTTCTATGGAGTGTATTCACTATCAGCATGTGCTCGGCTTTCATGAGTTGTTCCTGTGGGCCTTCGACTGGCACCCAGTCGAACCCCCTCAACAGGCGCGGAAGGCGAGCTCTTTGATGGTGGCCAGTCCTGTTCACTATGACTCATGAACATGCATTCAGTGATTGAATAAGCCGTTGTTCTACCTACGTACATGCCTTGAGATTCGCCTCAGTATTGTCATGGCGGACTCTGGGATATCTCAGTACATCAATCCAGCAGAGTCGCAGTGTCAGTTAATTCATGTAAGAAACTGTGGATGATAACACTATGACCACTCAATGACCACTCCTGTGGTCTTTGGTTGAAACTGACATTTCTACACTAACGAGGTATAAGCATGAGTCCATCAAGCATAGTTGGGATGATACTACTCAACATTCTCCCAAAACACATCCGAGACCATCACCTG